TCACACACGATAAATACGAAATCATCAAAACGAATGAAAAGACAACATGAAATATTGAGTGTTACTATTCCGTCGTTTAAACATAAATATAAAAATGCGATAAAGTGCTGCACAAAATATATTAGCATAACGGATGAGTTATACGTTGTTCTGATCTATTCTTCACTTAACGTTGCTTCCATCTCTTATCCATATTTTCAAGATTTTTTCAAGATCTTCAAGATTTTACGAAATGTAATGTACAGATATTATAATGGTTGAGGTAAATACATATGTCACTTTGGAAGTAATACAGCGTTATGTGACCTTCCATTTCCCGTGTATTTTTAGTGCTTTTTGCAATTCATTACACGTGATTTATATTGGAAATGGAAATCCTACTTAGAATGAAATAGTTGAAATTTGCAAAACAGCGATAATTGTCCAATAAACTATGGGTTGTTGGAAAGGAAGAAGGCAACATTAAAGGGATAAGCAACGATTGCTCGGGTAAAGATAACCCTCTCTTTCTCTCTCTCTCTCTTCCTCTCTATCATTTCATTAAAGTTCCTCTTTACTACTCTTTCTCATTAACATACTTTTCCTCCGTATCTCAGTCTTTTATGCAATTTTTTCCTCCTCTTTCTTCTTATCCGTTGTAACCATCAAATATACCGATGCCTCAAGAGATCTTTCAATCTTTTGCTATCATACTCTTTCCTTTTTCCATTACATTGTTCTCTCTTCTACGATCCATCTTCACTCATCGTTCTCTCTCTCTCTCTCTCTATCTCTCTCTATCTCCCATCGTCATAGCTGCAAAATTTGTTGGATTCTTGAAAGGTTAGGCTTGGAGACGAGTAGCTGAGGTGTTTCCAGTTGTTATCTCATATCCTTCCAACTGTAGATATTACCGTGGTACTGCCGGAATATCTTTCGGTCCGTTTTTTTAAGATGACCTTAATGTCGCAAGTAAAGATGACCTTAATGTCGCAAGTTATTGGACCGAAAAAGTATGAGAGAACAGTTCCCTGTTGTAGGTCTGATCGTGATAATTTAGTTCATTGTTGTTAAGTAGCTGGTTGCAAAACCAATGATATGATCCTTCTCTACGTGCATTTATTTAGTATTTGTATTAATACTTGTTCTTATAGGCTGCCGTCCACTTCTCTAATTTTTTTTTTCGTTTTTTAGATTTATTGTGAAACAAACATAAGTACTAAATAAGTAGCGAAATGAGTAAAACGCATCCACCGGAACTGAAAAAATATATGGACAAGCAGGTTGATCTGAAATTGAACGGCAATCGAAGTGTATCGGGTATTCTCCGAGGTTTTGATCCATTTATGAATATTGTTGTTGAGGATGCTGTCGAAAATTTGAAGGTTTGATCTTATCATTATTGTAGTTGTTTGAGCAGTAAGGCTTAATTGATTGTTTATTGATGGATAGGATTCGATTTCGTGAATTCATATGGATGAAAATTACTGTTGTGATCTTTTAAGTGAAAGGTTTAACTTCAGTATAAGGATAGCACATCCACTGATACAGTTGTGTTTGATTTTCAGAAGGTTGATTGTTGAAAATAGGACTGTCTTAAATTTTAGGTAGATTGCATGAGTAAAAGACGAATCTCAGTCAGTTTATTGAGATCATCTCATTATATATTACACCATCTTCATTTTACTTTTATTTTTTCTGGTTTTGTATTTGTCCCAGTTAAAAATTTCGTTCTACAATTTTGGTAGGAGTTGCTCAAGCTGCAGAACTAATAATTGATAACGCTTTTACATTGTAGAATGGTGATAAAAACGAAATCGGGATGGTTGTTATTCGCGGTAACTCAATAGTTATCATGGAACCCAAAGAACGGCTGGATCAACGATAGAGTTTTTATCAGCTTATTGTTATTTTTGTGATCTTTTAAACTGTTTCTTTTTTTCAGGTTATAACAATTAATTTTTTAAATTAAAGTTCTTGTTGCGTAGTCACTTGACTTTACACTTGCAATTTTTATTGCTGCCAATTTCCCTTAAATTCTGGATTTAGCATAGAATTTCGGTCAATTACTATTTGGTAATAGTTAACTATTCTGACTCACTAAGTTTTCTTCAATGTTAAACCTGCATAAAGGCTTGAGTGCTGAAATTGCAATAAGATTTAAATGTGCCCCACTTGATTTTCATTAAATTTGTGCTTTGGTAATAGTTAGTCTTCTTTCCAGACTTTGTTTCTGTTTCAATATTGGTTACTACTGTTAGTTCACGTTGTTCGGTATCTTGATCGGATTTTAAGAGAGTTGCTACTTTAAGAATATGTGTCCTTCTTTTAAAAAATGTTGAAACGATACTGGAAACGGAAGAAATGTCCTGAAATTGTTTACTATCTCTGTTTTTACAAGTAACGTTCATTTTTAGTGTTCATAACCTACAAGTGATGAAGAATTTATTTGCTTTTGACTGCTCTCGAACAAGACAGATAAAGACAAGAATTGAGCGGATCAAGAAAATACCACATGTAAATAGCCGAGATATTGGGTGCCATTGAGTTTAACTTCTCTAGTTCCTATCGCTAAAGCAAGTACCATATAGTGTTTATTAGATCATGTTGATATGATAACATGATTAACAAACATCATATTATAGAAATATTATATATCTGTGGGTCTAGATTGTTTTACAGCACGGAAAATAGAAGAAGGAAACAGGACTATCAATAAATACTTTATTGAATAAAAATCAGTTTGGTATGAACTCGTGATTGGAATAAATTAAAAGAAAAGAAATTTTTTCTGAAACCTATTCGCTATTCTAATTCGTTATTGCTAATCAAATTTAGGGCGCATTCAATAGTGTCTTTGATGGAAATATATTTCTTCGAGAAAAGAAACATTTTTGCAATGCTCAATCAATTGATTTTTTTTTTTTTGAAACTTCATGAGATAAACAAAAAAACTTCCAGCAAGCAATGAGTAGCAAGAAAAGCTGAAACAAATAAAATGGATGGGACTTTAGGAAATTTGATTTAAGCTTATTAAATATCGATTTATGTTTAGCATCAACTTCCGGCTTTCTATCGGTTTGTAATATCAGTCTTGTTCGAGAGTACACCATTGATATTTGTAACTGAGAGTTTTATCTTTCCACAGAAATCCCATCCATTTCGCCAATACTAAATGCAGTTGAACAGTAGACGCAACAAATAAACACAATTTCAGCAAATATTATATTCAAAATGATTCATAAAATTTTCTGAATTTTTCGAATTAAAAATATTTTAACTTCAAGATTGACAAAATAGAAGAGATACAATTCTGATTTTTAATTTCAAACAGCTTAATATTTGTTCTTTTTCTATTTTCAATATTTCTTCTTACATATCTACTCGAATCAAATCATTAACCAATCCAGCAACATAAACAATATTACCATTACTCCACTGTGAACAATCGTTTTGTTTATCATTCTTATCGATTTAGTTAATCCATTAATGGGTATCATCAATTAATATGTCTGCTTCAATAATCAAACTTATTTTTCTATCTCACTAGTTGATTTTAGTAAAATCGCAAAAATCATAACAAAAATAACCATTGCATTAAGTAAACAAACAAACAAACAAATAAAGTTAATCAATACTTAACATACACAATATGAATTCATTTCTTTCGTAAAATGATTCTTATATTAACCGATAATTTGAGATAGTTTATTTTTATTTTTTCATATTGCTTCTAAAATTTTTGTTCGCTGAGAATCGCAAAAATCGCGCAATGACAAATTGACCGTCGTGTTAACATTGCTACCAACCAGCAGGTCATCATCATCATCCAAATTTAAATTACTGTAATTTTTCTTTGGTTATTCATTAACATCAATTTATTTTTTTTTTTTTGATTTTAAAATTATCAGAAGAGCTCTAGATAAATGAAGGTATAGGTGTATTTTGATCCTGTTACTATTGATTTATCAGTACTATTTGACTTGTAGTACTAAATCGGTATAGACTTTTGATCGTTGATTAATCTGATAAATGATGTAACCGAAATTATAAGCACTGAAATTTTGAGGAAAAATAAATTTTAGACTGGAAGGAAATTGAAACGAACATATCTTCGAGCTCATCATTATCTTGATCATCTGCCATTAGCGCTTCATATTCCTCCAAGCAATACCTATCCCAATCGTTCAATTCCTCTTCACCATCAGTCTATAATTATAAGAATTTCTTAAAAATCATTTCGAAAAGTTATCATTTTTTACAAGAAAGTAATTGTACGATATTAATTTCTCACTGTAAATAATGTAAGTGAAAAGATAGGTAAATAAGTTAGAAAAAAAAGAACAAATAGTTTTCTTATTAATCAAATAATTATGCAAAAATCAAACCACTGTAGCTCGTTCTCCTTCACTAGCTTCCTGTTCATAGTATTTAACCCAATTAATAAATGTATTGAAAAATCTGGTACATAAAGGGCACTTTTTTAGATCCGATAATGAAATGGCATTCGGTTGTCTCGGTTGTATTAAATCTAATAGCTGTAAAATGCATTTCATTTTAAAATTTCTGGAATATTTGAAAATTTCAAGTAATCATTGATTAAAGTATGTTTGAATTCCCAGTTGATGAGTGTGCTAATTTCAGAGTAATAAATTAAACACTTACATTACAAACTACATCATCAAAACGCATAGAATCGATATTATGTTGATCCATTTTATTTCTAATACCGTTATAAAAGTATTCCATTTCGTACATTGATAATAAGCCATCACCATCTAAATCTAAGCATCGAAACCAGTATTCCACGCTGTAAAAATTTGTAAAAATTCAACAAACTTATCAAGAAACTCCAGTTTAAACTTATTCAATTAAAAAAAAGACAAAAAATTCTAATTTAAACTTATTCAATTAAATTTCAGCCCAATATAAACTTATCTGAAAAAGGTTCCATTTATTTCGTTTATCGACTATCATCTAATCGGCTACCAGTAGACTATAAAATATATAAAAATAAAATTAAAAAAGTAGGACAATACCTGGTAGGATGCCTTTTATCTTCTTCAGCTAGTAAAAATGCTACAAAATCAGTGTAACCGATAGTTTCAAGCGCTTCAGGGATACGTTTTCCGGCTGGTGATCGCGTCACTGCTCCGCTAAATATCCTATCGATAATTTGTGATGGAAGTGCTGAAAATGATTGGTTTAAATTGAAATTAAATTTATATAAGTTTATAGTGATGAATTAGCAATTGCAGTAACTATGGATGTAATCGAATATAATTGTTATCATTATTATAACAATGATTTCACTGTATAATCGATAAAATAAATATATGAAATTTCAGAAGAAAAATATGTATATATACTCTCTAAATATTTTTCGTAGTAAAAATTCGATATTAAAAATTTTCACCTCCGTTGCAATGTTGCGACATATCAATTTTGTTGATAATCAAATCGTGATCTTTGTCCAATTCATAAAATTTGCAGTAAATTACATAGAAATGTTCGTAGCTAAAGTAATTTGTTATCGCATTGATGTCATCCGTTGTTTCCAATTTTCTGACTGTCTAAAAAATTGTGGATGAAAGGAAAATGAAAAATCATGAATTTGATAACAGAAATCTAACGGATAGATATGAATTGAATCGAATTATAAAATAAATAATTAAATCATTTTATTTTTGCCTTTTTTCCAGAAGATCAAAGTTGAAGAAAATAATTAATTTTTAAAATATTATAAACAAATAGTATAGCTGTAATAAATTTTTAAATTCCATTTTGTTACCTACTTCTAAGAAATTCGAACGACGCAACTCATTAATTGTAATTCGTCCAGTCCATGATCGATTGACTGCCCAAAATATCCTTACTATTACCTGAAAAACGATTGTCAAATTTGAAATAAATAAGCGAATGCGAGAAATGAAATAATTAAATGAAGAAAACAATTTTAAAATTAACTCCTTATGTAAGCTTTGGCATGATATGAATAATTTTATTGATATATTTTATAATATTAATAGTTGAGATCACTTCGTTTTCATCCAAATTTTTTTCAAATTTAGAATATTAAAAAGCTTTTCAATTTTCATGAAAAAATAAATGAATTTCTAAAATTATTTCGATTAATCACAAAAAAAAAAACGAACCGTTTCAACATATCTCGAATGAAATTCTTCAGCTTCACGAAGAAAATGCAATCCTGGGAAAGTTTCGATGAGATCTTTAAGGATTGGTACTAAATCTTCTTTGGTTAAGTAATTCCGATGAGGCCCAGCTAAAGTATATACAAAACGAGCTGCTTCATCATGTGCCACTGCAGTCATCCTAAAAAGCACCAATATCGTTTCTGAACTCTGATTTAAAATTCATCCTAACCAAATTGAACCCTCTAAAATCTCATCGCATATGTGATATTTTATCATTTATGACATGAGACTTAAGGAAATTTTGGAGAACATTGCCCAAAAAATTTGCAAGGACTATGGAGAGGGGGATACATAGCGTTAAAATATATGATTGCTTGGCACGACTACTTTGAAAGAATTACATTCAATATGGAATCGAATTTTACTAGCTTTCCAATCAATGAATTACTGATTTTTATATTCAAAATTTTCTCGCAATCATCTACAATCACCATAATAAAAGATAAATGATATGATTGAAAATAGCAATGTGCAGTACCTGTTCCACCAGGAAGCAAAATTAGCAAATGTAATTGATCTCGACAGATTGTTACAGCAGGAATCATAAACAGCTCGTTTCCAATAAATTGGAATACCGGCCGCTCTGCATACTTCAGCCATATCAATCATTCCCACCTGAATTAAAATTTGAAAAATAAAAGAGTAGAAAGTCTAATGACGCATGAATTTGTTGACATTTTATTCAAATTTAACATATAATACCTTATTTCCAATACCGTTGAATACATCGCTAACTCGTCTTAATGCTGCTTCATTCTCGCATGTCGAAATGGGAACTCCTTTTGGGAAAAAGAATCTTAAAAAAAAGAATGAACAAAGATTGATGTATATCGCCGTTGACTTCATTTTCATTTTTATTTTTTTTTATTTTTTAAGTAAAAACAATCATATAGTGAAATATTACGATCAATCGCTGTTCCATTTTTTCTTGTACGACAATTTGGGAAATAGTACTGATCGATATGCTTCATATAATTATTCCTTGACCGGTATGTGAATCCTACCTGAACAAATATACCTTATCTTAAATCATTTCACTTACCTTGGAACATCAACAATTTCCACTTTCGGTAAAGGAGGAGTTGTAGGCCATTCTGGCTCCGTTCCGGTCCATTTGACTCCATTTTGCTTCAAATAAAATTTGTTACTAATTTAAATTTCTCTTTTTATTGCAAACTCAAAGAAAAAAAAACACATGCCTTGAACACCTAATATATTGGAATTATATCCATACTTAATAATCTTTTACTATAATGTGTAACGTGAAGTCACATAGCATTTTGAATACTAAAATGATTAATTCTAATACAGTAATGTAACATTTGATGAAAAAAAGGAAATATATCAAATTAACGAACTTAAATTATATTTCGAATATAAACTGAAATGAAAAAAAAAAGTACCATACCAACGTTTTTCCAGTACTGATATTACTGTATGGTTTATCGATGCTCATTTTTGTCATTGCATTTTTCTTTTCCATACGTCGTTCCGCAATGCTACGATACGATTTTAAATCTTCATTTTGATCACTAAAATGACGCAAAAATCATTACTATTCAGTTTTTTAGAAAAATTTCACTAATTATTTTACTAATTACTTATTCTCGAGATTCTTCATCTTGCTTATAATGAGATCGTATTATATTATTGTTCTGAAATACTAATACGATCGATAATTACATAAAGACATTTAACTAACCTTTTATAAAATTAGAACTACAGAAAAGAAAAAGAGGAATACTTCTACCTTGTTCTGTTTTTAATTTTGGAAGACTTCATCGGTGACTGAAGGACAAAGTTCTTGGCTTCTTGCAATTCTCTGTAATATCGATCACAATAGAACTAGTGATTGCTCAACAGATTATCTTAGATAGTTTTAAATCTTAAAGTTTTTTAAAAGAAAACTAAGACATACAGGGTAGTTAGCTGATCATCTGTTTTTTCTATTTCTGCAGTTGTTGTTGCTGTTGTCGGAGTATTTTCAATATTCTGATATGGAATTTCTTCCTGAAACTGATCATTTCATTTTTAAATATTATTTCACAAAATGTTGAGAGTTATTCCAAGAAATAACTTTTCAGGGGTTAAATGAAAGCTTTATAATCTGAAATAATTCGGGTAAGTTACTAAATTCAAATTATGAAGAATTTGGAATGCTCGTTGAAGAAGCATTATAAAGATTTATTCCACAGAAATGTACCAAAAATTATTTTTTATTTGGTAAATGGAATTCTTGAAATGACCATTTTCTGTTGTCCAAAAGCTGCACAATGTCTGATTAATGGTTGGTTAAATTTGACAGAAAATGAACTCTTTAAAAAAACAATTTTGAAATTGCAGAAAAAAGCTATTTTAGAAGGAAATAATATTTTGATATGAAACGCTCATGGAAAGATTTATTTGAAATAGAAAGTAATTTTCTCGCGAAAGAAAAAGAAGGCAACATTTTAATCTATATTTGTCTTTCTGATAACACTATCACATTGACTACCACGTAAGTGAACGAATATAAATTATCGTCTGAGCTTCTAATTATAGCGAAATAAAAATATTTCATAGAGAATAGTTTGAAAAATATTTTTCAATGTTTACTGTCGATAAATGTTTTATTTTCACTTGTGAAGCAGATATGTAACGATGATTTTTTTTTTTTCAAAAAAAGGTTAAACAATTGAATGATGCTATTATGTATTTATTAGAGTTATATATATATATTTTTTTTTTCGAATTATTAAACTAAGTAGCCAAATTCCTTTATTCTCTCTTATTTCGCTAATTATCAATTTATAAGTGAATGCGAAGAGATCAAATTAATTCATATATAAGATTGATTAGCTTGAAACTTTAAATATATTCCGGAAAGAAAGGAAATCCTTGAATATTCCTTCTCGAAAAGAAGAGAAACATTTGAAATATCTTCAGCATTCAGATGCTAATTATTTAAATGTGATTGTTGATAATTAATTTTGACGTAAGAAACAAAAACGGATATTTCTAATAAATATATTATTCAATTCATGTAACAAAACAAGAAGCTTGCGAGGCGATAATAATACATATATTATTTGACCTTCGATTCAACAAATATGAACTTTTTTCCAACATCGCAAATGACTCACAAAGTGGAAATTTCACAGGAATTCCTGACACATACACACACATACACACACA